AAGGAATTACTTTTTTTTTAATTATGGAAAACTTCACGAGTTAAAGAATTGTATAGTGAACCCTCACGTACCCATCCCTCAGCGACCGGGGCACGAGCCCGTGTCCCCTGCATCGGCAGGCGGACTCTCAACCACCGCGCCACCAGGGAAGCCCTGTCATTCAGTTTTTAGTAAAGTAATATAGTAATCACAGCCCCCCATCTATTTCTGCATCATTTCGTTGTTTAAATTATTCACCGAAATTGTCACTAGCTGAAATTATCTTATTTATGTTTTACTTACTTTTTTGTTGCCTGTCTGTCCCCTAGAGTATGAGCTTCGGGAGACCAGGGTCCTTGCCTGTCTTGTTTACCTTGTGTCCACACAGTTGGTGTTCAAGTAATATTTATTGAATTAATGAGTTACGAAACAATGAGAAGCTGGAGTCCATTCTGGCCTTAGGTTCCCTGTTGCATCTCCTTTTCTCTGTCGTTCACACCGTTGACCAATATTAACTCGTAGAGGAGCTTGCACCCGTCATGTGACTTCATTCAACCTGCTTCCTCATTTGGGAAATGGGAACCCTACTCCTTACTGAGCCAACTCAAAGGGATGCTGGAGATGCAAGGAGCCTGGGGGGCGGGGGTAGAAAAGCCCACTGATGATCAGAATTGAATACATGTGGCCTGGTTGGGGGAGCACCTCACTCCTGCTTCCCCACCAAACCCTTCCCACTCAACGCTGTTCAACCTGGCCCGCTTCCTCCTCTCTGGGTCACTCACACAGCCTCACGTGCCTTGCCTTCCCCGCCCCTGACCCTCCAAAGGTCTTATTTAATAGCTTCTTGTGAGGAATTCACAGGAGGCCATGACCCTTACTGGGAGAAAGCAGAGGCTGTAAAAGGCCAGGCTTGGCTCCCTGCTCCGTGGTTAAACATTGATAATACCAGGAAATAGAGGCCTGGAGTGGGCACACCACACAGCCCCCTTCAATGACGGGACCTTCAGATGGAGGGTCCTCCCCAGCCCATTCCCCTGGGCTGGCAAGAGGGTCTGGATATTTTCTTTTTACTTGAGGCCAACAGACAAGAAGGAGAGCACAGGGCTCCTGGTTCTTGCTGATTGTGAAAGTCAGGTGGAGACTGTTTGCCATCTGCCATCTGACCATTCAAGAGGTCAGTCACCCCCAAGTGACAGAGAAGCCTCCGGGCGTGTGCTAAATGCAGAGCTACCAGATGGGCCTGGCTGCCCCAGGCTCTGCAGCGCTGCCCACTAGGTGACAGCTGTGCGAAAGCTCAGGTGCAAAGACCATCGGTATTGCCCAGAAAGGAGGAAAAGGAACAGAGAAATCGGTGCTGCTCACAACAGCAGATCAGACAAGTCCTCGGAACTCAGGACCCAGGGTGAGTGTCTTCAACCTCCCATGGGGATGGGTGGCCCAGGTTCTTTGGCAGGAATCACTGTCCAATGACAGATGGTTAAGCCCTGTTTAAAATGCAGGAATCTCCTGGAGGGGCCTAAGGAGATATGACAACTAAATGCAATATGATATCCTGGATGGGAACCTGGAGCAGCAAAAAGACATTGATGGAAAAAAGAAATGCAAATAAATCATGAAGTTTAGTTAATAATTTTTAAAAAGCAGAGATATTAATACCATGCTCACTCTAGAAGAAAACTGGATAAGTGCTCTGAGAGAACTATGTCCTTTGTTTCTGTGGCATCTAACACAGTCAGGGAGGGCTGACTTGTATCCATCATATCATTTTGTTTGTTTCATTTGTTGGTATATTTTTATTATAACAATATTATACATGTTTAAAACACACATTCCACTGTGGACATCAGCCCACATGCAAATGTGGGTTCCAGCATCACACTATCTTGATTACTGTAGTTTTAAAGTGAGTCTTGAAGTTGGGAAGCATCAGTCCTCTGACTTTGTTCTTCTCTTTCAAGATTGTGTTGACTATTCTGGGTCTTTTGCCTCTCCATATAAACTTTAAATCCAGTTTGTCAATATCCATAAAATAACTTGCTGGGATTTTGACTGGGGTTGCACTGTATCTATAGATCAAATTGGTAAGAACTGACATCTTGATTAGTTCCACTAATTAAACATCCAAAATTGGAATTGTCTCAAAAGGTATAAATACAATATATACATCCTTTTTTTATTGAGGTATAGTTTATTTACAATATTATATGTTTCAGGTGTATAACATAGTGATTCATAATTTTTTAATGTTATACTCCATTTATAGTTATTATAAGCTATTCCCTGTACTGTGCAGTATATCCTTGTAGCTTATTTATTTTATACATAGTAGTTTGTACCTCTTAATCCTCTCCCCCTCTTTTGCCCCTCCCCCTTCCCTCTTCCCACTGGTAACCACTAGTTTGTTCTCTATATCTTTGAGTCTGTTTCTTTTTTGTTATATTCAATATTTCTTTTCTGTTTTATTTTTTAGATTCCACATATAAGTGATATCATACAGTATTTGTCTTTCTTATGACTTATTTCACTTATTTGTCTTTCTTGTGACTTATTTCACTTAGCATAATACCCTTCAAGTCCATCCATGTTGCTGCAAATGGCAAAATTTCATTTTTTTTATGGCTGAGTAGTGTTCCATTATATATATATATATATATATATATATATACCATATCTTCTTTATCCATTCATCAGTTGATGGACACTTAGGTTGCTTCCATATCTTGGCTATTGTAAATAATGCTGATGTGAATATTGGGTTGCATCTATCTTTTCTTTTTGAAAAATAAATAAATAAATTTACTTATTTATTAAATTATGGCTGCGTTGGGTCTTCGTTGCTGCGCTCGGGCTTTCTCTAGTTGCGGCGAGTGGGGGCTGCTCTTCGTTGCGGTGCACAGGCTTCTCATTGCGGTGGCTTCTCTTGTTGCGGAGCATGGGCTTTAGGTGAGTGGGCTTCAGTAGTTGTGGCACGTGGGCTCAGTAGTTGTGGCTTGCGGGCTCTAGAGCGCAGTAGTTGTGGCACGCGGGCTTAGTTGCTCCGTGGCATGTGGGATCTTCCCCGACCAGGGCTCGAACCCGTGTCCTCTGCATTGGCAGGCGGATTGTTAACCACTGCGCCACCAGGGAAGTCCCTGCATTTATCTTTTCGAATTTGTGTTTTCGTTTTCTTTGGATAGTATATACATACGTTTAAAATACATACAAATACACAAAATATATATTTAGAATATACATACAAAATACATACATTTAAAAAATGTAATTACATGTACTGCTTTCACGAAGGTAGTATGTGCTCACAAGAAATGTATACAATACAGAAGTGTTCAAAGTGGATGTCCCATGGGTCTAGGCCCCATCCTACTTCCCCAAAGGGAGTTGGCGTTTGGTGTCTTGACCTCCATGCTCCTTTCTCTGTGGGTATTCAGGGGGGCTCTGCATATGCAACAGGGGCCTGTGGCCAGTGTTACTAATTAATCCAGGTACTCCTGCATCTGAGACTGGACAGAAACTCACAGCCCTTCTTAGCAAGTGCTCTGGACAGTTGGGGTTGGAACACAAGATCACATCGATTCGCCACTCCTGTAACTTTGTCTTTCCATTATTCAGTATATATATTATATCCTTCAAATGAGTAAGTAGGTAGTAGGCATCTGAGTCCCTGAAAGTCTAAAAAAAAGTCTTTCTTTCCCCCTGACTTCCATCTGTATCTTGACACATGAATGATCATTCATGTAGGAAAAACTCAGCTCAATATTATATTTGTGTCAAAATATTTTCCCTCAAAATCTGTAGCTGTTTCTTCAGTTTTCTCAGAGCTGGAGAGTTGGAGAAAACTCTTGATGGCAATCTTTTTATTAGTACCTTGTTCTTCTGTTTGGCTGTTTGCCATCCATTTGTTTTCCGATGTTCCTGGCTGAGCCTCCAAAGGCTATTTTGGATTGGAAGGCAGTGTCAGAGCGGGGGGACTTGAGATGGCCTCTGGCCTCTCTTGTTCTCTCTTTGCCTCATTGTCTTTTTAGCCCTATGACATGATTTCATGATTGGTCTGTTCAAAACCCTTCTCCTGTTTTATTTCTTTACTTGGATCTCCATTTCTGTTATCTTTTTCTTCTCCCCACCCCCAGTGATAATTATCCTAATGTGTTGAATGCGTCTTTTTAAAAATGTGTTTTTGTAAAATGTGTGTTGTTGTTTTGTGTGCATATGTGAATTTTCATAAACGGTGTGGCATGCCCCCTTATGATCCTCAGGGATACTTTCTTTGAGATATAAATACACTCAGGAGTAGAACTGCTGGGTCACGTGCACACTTACTTTGACTAATTTGCTCCCTAGACGGCTGCCCCACTCCCTGGCAGTGCCTAAGGCTATAGCCCCAGAGCCCCGCCAACACACGGCATTATCTACCTTCCAAACTATGCCACTCTAACAGATGTCAAGTGGTGTTTCATTTTGTTTTAATTTTCATTCTTGTTCTTGCCAAAGAGTTTATTTTCATATTCTTGCTAGCCTTTTGGGTTTCCTATTCTGTAAACTGCCCGTTTATATCCTTTACACATTTATTAGGATTCTAGTCTTTTTCTTCTTAATTTGCGAGAATTCTTTGTGTGTTCTAGATATCAGTTTCTTCCTGGAGAATGGGAGTCCCCTGCAAGAGTCCCACAGCCCATCAGTGGCTCAGTCCTCCTCACTCCCAGGTCTTCCCCACACATGACGAGTTTTCATAAAGATTTGAGTGACTCCCACTTCTACGGTCTCTGCTTCTCCAGGCCCCACCTGTTCCGGGAGTTCCAGCTGTTTTGGTCCTGTAACTTTGGGCCTGAGGAGAGGAGAGCTGGGTTTGAGCAGGGAGGGGAGAGTAAACTGGGGTGGGATATCCAGTCATGCTCTCTGCTTTGTCTCCAGCAGGCTTTGGGGCTTTGCAAAGAGCCAGAACCTAGGAGGCCAGGAGAGCACCTGAGGGCGAAGGAGCCTAAGAACTTTGTTGTCAGAAACATATCCCAACCAGGAGCAGTGGCATGGGCTACAATGAGGAGCTTACTGGAGCCCCACCTGGTACCGAGGTGCCTCAGGAGCTGCTGGAAGAAATGCTTTGGGTTTTTCGTGTAGAAGATGGTAAGTGGTGGACACAACACAAAGAGAGGAATCTGGTTGGAGCCCCCGTCATGGTCCCCTCCTCTGCAGCAGACTGCACGTTTTCTCTAAGCCAGGGAGGCTGAGGCTGAGGGGGTCTCACTACCCAGAGGGGTCTGGCTAAATTGCACCCTCCTCTTCTCAGGGCTGGCCACTCATTTACTCATCCATCCTGTCATTCACGAATATTTATTAAGTTCCTTCTGTGCACCAGGCACTGTTCTCAGCACTGGGGTTACAGAAGGGAAAAAACAAAAATCTCCGCCCTCATGGAGCAGACTTTCTAGTGAAAGAGACAGAAAATCAACAAATGACTAAAATGCATAGTGTGCTGGTGATGCATAATACGGAGAAAAATTAAGCGGAGAAAGGGAATAGCAAGTGTGCTGCAGGGAACATAATGTGGTCAAGGAAGGCCTCCCTAAGAAGGTGGTGTTTGAATAAAGCTTGCAGGAGGTGAAAGAATTAGCCATGCAGATTATGTGGGGGCAGAACATTCCTGGTAGAGGGAACAGCAAACGCAAAAGCTCTGAAGCTAGATCCTGCCTCACTTGGGTACAGTGTGGACCAATCTTGATTATCCAAATTCAGATTAGCCTCTTTACGTGTCTGTGGGCAGTGTGTTGAATCCAATTTAACTGCCAGGCCTTCTTTCTTTCCTCCCTCCCTCCCTCCCTTCCTTCCTTTTCCCCTTGTACTGCACTTGGCTAGCCCCTAGCAAAACTCTGAAGAATGTGAAGATTATCTTCACCCACACTCCTCCTTTGCCCACTATTATTACCCAGCTGCACTGCTGTCTCCCCCAGGTAGGTGAGAGCTTTTTCGGAGCAGAGATCTTATCTCCCCCCCCCCCCCCCCCACCCCCACCCCGCACACTGGACTGGGAGTCCCCGCAGGGCAGGGGGCTCATTTTCAGCTTAGAGTCTCTCTACAATACCTGGCCCACAGCACAGGAAGGTTGATGCTGTGAGCTGGTCTGTTAGGGGCCTGAAGGGCACCCAGCCTCTCCTCAAGGCTCTGTCCTGTGTGTCCCTCCCCAGCAACTCCTTGGAATAGTTCCATGTTTGTCCTGGTGGCCGTGGTGGTCGTGATAAGCATTGTCTTCTTGGGAAGGAACATCCAGGCAAACAGGTGAGGAGCTGGTCTGGGGGTGGTCTCTGGAGGGGGTGGGCCCTGCCCTCCCAAAGGAAACCTAGAGAGGGGTCATCTAGGGGCCTTGGCTGTCCACCCTCTGGGACAACAAAATGCATCCTTTAGGGTCCTTTGAGAACCCAAAGCTGCTGAAAAACTGGCAACTGTCCCTGATGACCACTCCTTGGCCCTGGCCAGCAAACAGGGCACGGGCTGGTGGTGTATCTCAGAAGTCAGGATCTCTGGCTCTGGAGTCACACAAGCTGGGTTCAAATTCCAGTTCTGCCACTCAGGAGCTGGGCAAGACACTCAGTATCTCCAAGCCAGCTTCTTCTTCTATAAATGGCAGTAATAACGGATTCCCTCCTCCTAGGATTGTGGCGAGTGCACAGTGGGGGCTTTTGCAGAGTTAGGGCTGTTCTTAAAGGGGAAAGCCTTGTGCTGCTCCAGGGCCAAATGCAGGGCACGGAAAGAGACCTAAGATCAGTCGGTGCTCCTGGGGTAATTTTGACATCTTTATAACAACAATACTCCTTAACCCTGGATACACAACCAAATCACCTGAGGAGGAACATTAAAAACACAGAAATCTGTACCTCGCCTTGGAGATTCTGACACAAAGGGTGGGACCTGGGCATTGGCATTTTGGTAAACTCTCTGGATGATTCCAGGGCTAACTTCTGAGAGCTCCTTGAAGGCAGGGACCACATTTGACTCAATTTTGTTTCCCCAAGCAACTGGCACAAAGTCTGGTTCTAGAAGTTATTCAATAAATGCTTGGTTCACTCATTCCCATTCATTCAATAATTACTATAGCCCTAGTAACTAGCAGTAACTTTTAAACAATAATAATGAGAATCTCTCCCTCAGATCTGTATCAGGTTTTACAATTTTAAAGGCACCTTCACATTCTCTCACTTGATCAAGACAGCCCTGTAAGGTGGGGTTGGCACAAATTACCTATTCCCACTGTACAGAGTAAGGTCACTGAGGATCCATGGAAGGGTTGGCCTAACCTCCGTGCTCTTCCTTCTGTGCTATATTTTACGTCATCTATGAATCCTCCTCACAGTTCTGCTGTAAAGCCAGAAAGAAATAACCCAGTGCCCTTTGCTCACATTGGTAACTAGTCGTTATGAACTGCTATGGCCCAGTCATCATTCATTCCACAGAATAAGCTGAGCATCTGCTCTGCGCTAAGCTCTGCACTGAGAGCAGGGGCCGCAGGGCTGGGCAAGATAGATTCAGCCCTGGCCTTAAGGAGTTTACAGTTTGGTGGGGAGATAATTGTAGTTTAGAGTGACAGGTGGCGACTGTGGGACATATAGAGTATTGTGGGAGCACAGAGATGGGATCTGGGGCCTGCGGGGCAAAGAGAGAGAGAGCGAGGGTGGGCTATGGAAGCCTTCCAGACCAAGGGACAGCACACACCAAGCCCGAGGCGGGAGGAGGAGGGCCCGTGAGGCTGCAGTGTGGAGTGTGGGGCGGGCAGGGGGAGAAGGAGGCCAAGAGGCAGCAGAGCCCAGAGTGAACAGGCCCTGGGGGCCATCCTAAGGAGTTCAGGTTCTAGCTCATGGGCATTGGGGAGCCAGAGAAGAGCTCTGCACAGAGACATGAACGGCTTATGTTTTAGCAAGATCAGTCTGGATGCAGGATATAAAAAGACCCAGAGGGTATAGCCTCTAAGAAGGTGACCTTTCCTCTCTCACCCTGTCAGGAAGCATCCCCCTCGACAAGGTCACTTCAGAGACAAGGCACGTGTCCTCAGAAGCAGCAGACACTGAGATACTCCCCTACGGCCCAAGCAGATTGGGCGGTCAGCTCTAACCACAGCCGGGTCCCTCTACTATGGCCAGGAAATCTAGAGGTGAATACTTTGAGTAGAACCACCTCAGAGGGGAGACATTTGGGAAGGTTATTAGAAGGAAGACTGGATCTTGAATGCCAGGTTAAGGAAGTGGGAGTGGGGAGCCACTGAAGGTGCTTGAGCTGGGGAGTGATGTGTACGCACAGGGACTTTAGAATCATGATTTGGTGTGTGTAGGCCAGTTTGGAGAAGTAAGCACCTAGAGGCAGGGAAGATTAGTTAGGAATTTCCTGAGGTAGCTTGTCTAGAGATGGGGTGGAGTGAGGGTGGGGATGGGGTGTGGGGTGAGAAGGACCTGCACTAAGTAGGACGACAGCCCTGCGATGAGAAAATGTGGTTTGGTGAAAAGAACACGGGACTCAGAGTCAGGAAACTTAAACGCATGTCCCAGGCATGTGATTCTTTGGCCCCTTTGAGACACATTACATCACCTGTAAGGGGAACAATAGTAGTTAAGCTCACAGGTGGCACTGAGGATTTGGTAAGGTGACACACAGACAAGTATAAGATGTTTCTCTGCCAAAAACCATGGCACCATCTCGGCTTCTCCCGCAACTGTTCCCAGAACTGGGTACTGGATTTCTACCTCAAACTCACTAACCCACCTGGCAGACCCAGTCCTGCCCCAAACACTCGGTACCCCAACTCAGGGAACTCACATTCCATAGTGTTTTCTCTCCTCCCAGAAATCAAAAGAGGCTGCCACCAGAAAAACAAACTCCAGGAGTCCTGTACTTGGCCGAGGCCGGAAACAAAGACGACAACAACCTGACCATCCTAAGAGAGACTTTGCTCTCAGAAAAGCCAAAGTTGGCCCAGGTGGAAGTGGACGTAAAAGACAGTGATGTGCCGCCAGTCATTCTTCCAGACCCATGAGAATCTGAGAGCTAGTTAGGGTGCAGGGCAGTGCCCCCGTGGTGTTAGCAGACAGTGAGTGAACTGCAATCAAACTAAAACCCTGTTAGGAAAAAAACGAACAAAACCTTTTTATTAAAATGCTCCTGGATGTGGGCAGTTGGAATTGCATAGTCTGTTCAAATGGCAGTGGTCCACACACAAGCGGCTTGAAACAAAAGTGCAAAATCCAGAGCCAGCCCGTGGGTCAGGAAGCCTGGCCAGGACTCCTCACGTGCGTGGCCTTGAGGAGTTCACAGCCTCCCTCTGACCTTGGCTTCTCCGTCTGCAGAAGGTGGCTGAAGCCTAGGCAAGAGCTACTGTTTTCAATCAAAGCTCCTGGAAAGGCTGAGTGAGGAAGGGGCAGGATTCTGGACTCAGAATCCCCTCCCCCTCCCTTCCCCCACCGCAGGCCACTCCTCTACCTGCTGGTCTGCTGAGGGTCCGTGAAAGACTTCCTTTGGGCCAGGGGCCCTGTGGTAAAGACAGCTAGAAAACTAAGAAACTCCCTGCCTCTGAGACCCTTCTCTTGCTAACCGTGGGATCCCAAAGGAGTGTCGCGATCCCACGTCTGAGCCACCATGTTGCAGTATAAGCTGTGGTGGCAACCCCAAATAATTTATGCCAAAATTTGCTTTATGAACCAAAAATGCTTTAGGTGGTATCTTACAAAAGTGGACTTTGAACACGCAGACCCATTGCCAAGGGTACTAGGCCCTGCCGCACCAGACTACAAACAGAAAACTGTGTTTCTCCCTACTGGATGTCTGATACAGCCAGTTGTGGGCTCCCTGGAGTCCTGGGTGATTGTCACTGGAGAGAATGACTTTGTTCTGCAGTTTTGATCAGTAAACTTGAGAAGGCTGGTCCTGAGGGCCTGCGGACAGAGTCCTTGATCTAAGGTTGTAAAATACGGGGGCCCTGCCTCCTGGTGGAAACACACATGAGGCTCGCTACACTGGCCTACCCGCGGCCCTCTCCCTCTGCCCTCACTGAGAGGCAAAGGACTGGAAATAGGCCTTCCCGGGACACCTTTGCTTCTCACAGGCTGTCCCGTAGGATTATTGCAACTAGATTTTACTTGGATAAACTGTGAGGTTTGTTGCCTGGGGGTTCTATGAGGTCAGAAGGCAAGGGGAGGGCCAGGCTCTGGCCCCGCAAAACCTGCAGCTGCCCTGCCCTTCCCGTCCACCAGGAGGTGCTGGGACCTCAGGGCAGGATGCCCTCAGGCCCACACTTATGCAGTGCCTCCTGAAGCTGTCCACCCAGAGCTGTCCACCAGGGGCCACATCAGGCCTGGCTGTAGATGGAGCAGGAAAGGGTGATGGCGCCATGATGGATGCTGCAATTTCCTTCCGCTTCAGGCTGACCCCGGGTCTCTGCGTTGTCACAGTGGCTGTTTCCTTCAGGGTGAAGGATGCGGTGGTTACCATGGAAACCAAGGTCTGGAGGGAATAGGAGCAGAATTTCTGCCTGTCCCTATTGCTCCTACAGTGAACTGGGTATCAGGGACACTGCCTGGTGCTGGAGGAGGCGTCAGCTGTCCACCAGAGGGTGAGGGCTGCCGTTCCATCAGAAGGAAAGTCGGTCGTGAGAAGCCAGCTCCTGCCCTGCAGACTGCCCAGCGCTGAGCCTGGAATCCTGAGCAGGGGCCCTCAGAAGATCTTGAAGCCCTTCAACAGTGTCAGGGTGGGTGCCTTGCGCTTGCTCTGAGCCCGGGATGACTTTACAGTGACCAGCTTGGCCTGGGCCACAGTAGGCATCTCCTTCAGGCTAGCAGTAGAAAGTGTGTTGAAGGTGCAGCTGGCCAGCCCGTGCCGGGCCGTGAGTGGGGCCTGGTAATGCAGGGCCCTCTCCTCGGAGATGAAGAGGGGCCTGGCCAGGGAGTTCTTCTCCATCTCCCGCCGTGCCTCCCGTACTGCCTCGTGGAAGACGTGCTGCACGTGCTCGAAGTCCAGGCAGGCAGAGACCTCGAAAAACAGGCACCTGAACCTGCCCGCCAAGGCCACGCCCTCTGCCTGAGTGACCTGCCTGGCGGGGAAGCAGGGTGAGGCGGGGTCAGGAGCATGCATCCAAGTCAGGCAGGCCCAGGCCTACACTTGTATCCTCACTTACTAGCTCAGTGACCATCTTCATCTCTCTGAGGCTCAGTTTTCTCATCAGTAAAATGGGATAATGAGAGCTGCCTCTCAGGGTTGTTAAGATTAAGAAGACGATTTGTGTCAAGTGCCTAGCACAGTCCCTGCTTAATAAATGGTGGCTGATGTCACCGAAGCCAGAATTTCAGAACGAGGCTGAGGGGAAGGGAGAAGCTGGCCCAAAGTCCCTGGCTAGACCCTGCCTGTGGCCAGAGGAAGATGGGTATTCCCAGCCCCACATCCCCTTGACTCCCTTGGTCAGGAAATGAGCCACCCTCAGCCCTGGCATGTGGGATCAGCTCTGGGGAAAGGCAGTGGTCTGGTTGGAAGGATGTGAGACCACAGTGTCCACAGAGGCCTGGTGGGCCGAGGTCCTGACTCAGGACACCTGTGGTCGGCAGAGGTTTCAGGGCTCGTGGCAGGGAGTTTTGTCTGCTTGCCCAGGAGAGAGGCAGGAGAGAGCAAGGGTGACAGCACGAGAGAGGGAGCAGCACCTATTCCCAGCTTCATCCTGCACCACTTCCCATGATGATGGGATCAAGTATTTGTAAGTAGGAAGGTCCTGAAAGCCATGGGAATCAGGGTGAGAGAAAAATACTGGCCCTTGGATAGGTCAGATGTCCAGAAGAGGCAGGGGGCAGGCAGGGGGAGGGGTCCCTGAGGGCTGGAGGCCAAGGTTTCAATGGCTAAATCTCACTGCTGAGCTGCCTCACCTGCCATTCCTGAAGACAGTGGCACAGCCTGGGAGCTGAGAGGGGACACCAGGGTGGGTATGGTGGGAAAAGATTTCTGAGCCAAGGTTAATTTGGCAGGACCAAAGGCTGGAAGTGGGCTAGCTCAACAGACAGAGGGAATGACTGGGACAAAAAGGGTCAGGGACAGAGCACCTAATCCATTCCCCAACCAGGGTTGGTGTCCTGTCAGCTCACAGATTCCTGAGGAACTCCTTTTGAAAGAATACTTGGTATTATGTGCCTTTGTGATGAACTTGAATCTGAAACTTTGTCATTGTGGGGCTTGAATAATGAGCTTTCAGAAACAAGAACCCCATACGTGCATGTGTGTGCGTGAATGGATGAGCCGGGCATATAACATTATTACCCTTTTTCTTATTTTGGCGTAGCCTAGCGGAAGTGTTATCAGTGGTTAGCACCGTGCTAACCCACATTTTACCCTTTAGCTGCAAGACACTCATGGGAGACACTGACGAATGCTCAGCTAAAAATTACATTGTCTGTGCCCATCAAATCCTGACCTACCAACCTCGGGACTTGACCAAAGAAGGAAGTGGGGACAAATCTCATGACTCCTTCTTAGGGAAACGATGCTGCTTTGCTCTTTGCCCCCAAACCACTTTCGGACAATCCCATTGGCAAATATTGGGACCAAAACAGTGGCCTAGTTGTTTTCCTCATATTTAAAACTGGTTTATTCACAGTCCAGTCTTCTGATCCCTATTCTAGGCTCTGCGGGATCTGTGATTCCTCAAAGACAACCTTTTGGCTTTAAGAACACACAACTTTCCTCATTCCCTAAGATGGAATTTGTCTGGGTCTGAGGGTCTGCCCACCTTTGAAGGCTCCTACCGTGAGCCCCCTTCATGAGACCACACCCCCTTTCCCCACTGCCCATCAGCCCCGATCTATATTAAGTGTTCCCTCCTTCCTAACATCAGTCAGTGGGCCTTTGGGGCCTGGGGA